AAAGTATATCCAAAGTCAAAACGTTTTCTTTTTTAGTCTTAAAGAGTAGGGAAAGGTTATCAAAGCTGTGTAAAAAAACAAATGAACCCTGTACACATACCTTGTTGCCAAATGAATGGACATACCTGGAACTTTTAAAGATCTCAAAGGTTCTTGATGGAGCCAAGAGTGTGCCATGCCAAAATGTATGCATGGACAGATTGTACTGAAAATGAAAGGGGCCTAAAGTATTGGTTCTGGGGTTTACAGTAAGGCTAGGGTCACACTGTTGCAAGCTTTCAGGTCACATTTACACAGGCACAGCAGCCCATTCAGTTGAATGGGCTGCTGTGTCTGTGTTTCATGCAGTAAAAAGGTTCATGCAGCATTTTTAAACCACAGAGGCCAAGAAATCGAATGGTGTTTTTAGATATGTGGGGCTGCCATTAAGAATGAATGAAGTTCTCTAATCCTAGGTTCACACGTACTGTACGGTTTTCAGTGCATTTTCCAGTTTGCAGAAAACGCACTACAGTCCATTTAGCACAATTTCCTATGGATCTAATTCACGTGTGTGTTTTGAGCCAGTGTGTTTTTCTTAAAGGGTCAGGGACATTTTCCCACAGCAGAACTTCAATGGAACGGCACAAAAACACAAATTTGGGTTTAGGTGTGTTTTGTGTTTTTCTGCCAATAGGAAAATATTGACTTTCATGCAACTTTGATGTGACTTTGGATGGGTGCAGCTGCAACTTTTATGCAACTTTTTTTTTTGTTTATAGGAAATTATGACAGTTCTGTTCATGTAGTATGAAATTAATGCTACTTTACACTCTCTGGCACATAAGTAGCATGAAAGTTATACTACATGAACAGAACTGTCATACTTTCCTATTAGCAAAAAGAAAAAAATTGCATCAAAGTCGCACCCATTGAAAGTCACATCAAAGTCGTATCAATACTTTCCTATTGGCAAGAAAATCCTGCAAAACGCATAAAAAACGTGTAAAAAAAACACATAAATTGCATCAAGCAGAGGTGTGAACCTAGCCTCTAGAGCAGAGTGATTTTGATTGAAGGTGGCTGCGGGTGTGGGAGCAGCTGCAATTCTCTCACCCACAACAGTGTGAACCTAGCCTAAGATATAAATCAATACAAATAAAAATACACAGTACTGTTTTATAAGCTATAACAATCTTTGCTTATCAAGGAGAATATATACAATGACTATCATATAATTGATGAATATCAGTCAGCAGCAGAGCAGCAGGTTTTCTTCTCTTCCAGGTGCTCAGTCCTGGAATCCATCAAATGAGCACAACACCACATGCAACCAACATAAAAAAAAATATGCCATTCCAACAGCATGTGTCCTCTCCATTCATTCAGCCTTGTATAAAAAAAAATTCCACTTTGTCCATGTTGTCCTTCTGGCCTGCTTGTGCTACCTGTAACCATGCTTTGCTTCCCCTACCGCTGTGCCCATTAGGCCCACTGCCAGGTACTACTGCTACCTGTTCCCTTTAGCCTCATACTGGCCTTTAGCCACTTTATTGAGAGTATCCTGGTTTCTTGCTATTTTCTATAATCTCTCTAGGGACAAAGCACAACAGACTGAATGAAAATATGAAAAATTACCCCACTACACTACACTGGGGTCTACAGATGCTTGTATTGGGAAGGTTGGAGCTTCAGCCAAGGACTCAACTGTTGTCCAGGGAAAGGTTAAAGCAGAACATTCTTGCAGTGTGGGTGTACCTGTACTGCAAGGGCTAACTACTCACTTATGCCTAGGGGACTGGGTACAACAGGTTCATCCATTCTGGTTGAATGGTCACTGCAGTTTCTTTGCCCCTATGCCCCTAGGTCCACTAAAGTCATCACAATCAATGCATGGACCATAGACCTGTATTTGACGTGAGGACATAGAGGGTCAACCACTGTTGAAACATCAGGTAGCACCATCTACCTAGGTTGCTGAGGATCGGGTAAGTAAAATTGGTTTTCCTATCCTCTAGAAACAAACGAGCAATTACCCTTGTTGTGCAGTCTCAGTCTCACTACAAGGGAGGCCTTTTTACTTTTCTGGAGTTCAGCTTTGAGGTGAAATCCCCACAATAATATTAACACCTCTACCATATACGCAAAAATGTAATGACATAAAACATGAACATGGTCATCAAAGCCCCTTCTGTGTGACAAAAACAGCATGATGATGATCCAGCTCCTTGCCTAAATTGTGGTTGATGTTTAGTCATTTGTTGTCTGTGACCTCATGGACTTTGGCACATACGGTTTGTCTGGTAACAGCTGTTCCTCAGAGCTCTTGCAGGTTCATTTTGGTAATGTTGTCCATCTGTTTCAGTCACTCAGTCTCCTTTTGCCTTCAGTCTTTCCAAACATCAGAATCTTCTCTAGGGATTCCAGCTTTTACAATATCTTTGAACATCAGTTTTTGTAAATCCTTCTAGTTCATAGATCTGTCATTGTGAACTTTTCTGACATTATAGAAAGTATTGTAACATTTTTGAGTCAGTTTCTATAGACCCACATTTACAAATGAAACATTTTTAGTATTTACTTATTTATTGATGTTCTGCATATTGTATAAAGGCAGAGTGCTTTGCCATGTAAAAAATATGAATAGTTATTTATTACAGGTACTTAAATAGAGCTGTTAATTTACTCAGTGCTTTACATATATATTGTATATTCATATCAGTCCCTAACTCTCAAGGAGCGTGCAGTCTAAGGTCCCTATCTCACATATATATATATATATATATATATACTAGGGACAATTTAGACAGGAGCAATTAACCTACCAGCATGTCTTTGGAATGTGGGAGGAAAACGATGTACCCAGGCACAGGTAGAACATGCAAACTCCACACAGGAATGCTGTGGTTGGGATTCAAACTGGCAACCCTAGTGCTGCTAATAGGAAGCGCTAACAACTTAGCCATTGTGCTGCTCAATATTTTAATATTCTGGTATATTTATTGCTACGACTAAGTCATAGAACTGGCTGATGGCAAACATGTCTGTGTTTTAAATGTGATCTGTATGTTGCAGTATGCCATTCTTACAGTACATTCCCTTTATCCTTTGAGGTTTATCTGCAGGTCTTCAGAAATGATATACTGTATTGTAAGTGGATTTACATGAATATCCTATGTGGCCACAAGGTGGCAGTGACATTGTACTGTTTCCTTGGTTATTTTTAGCTTGCCTATTTTTATGTTACTATTTTAGAAAATGTTCCAAGATGTAAGTAGAACGCTTTGATTTTTCTTGACATATTTTGAAAAGCATTTCAAATGCATGGATTTAATACCTGATCTGAAGTGCAGAGTGTGATCCAGCAAATGAGGCTTAAAATTTTTTTTTATACTATTAATATCAATAAAACTGTTTACTCTATGACCAGAGATGAGAAAAACACATGTGAATGCAAATTTGCAAGGTATGCTAAAACATGGCTTGTAAAATATTCTGCATGAGGAATAATACTTTTGGCTCTGTCCTATTTTTGGCCCTTTTAACTGAAATAGTAGAAACATCTACAGCATGATGATATATACATACAGTTTATTTTTTATTATCAGTTTATATGTAAAATGTAATGTATATTATCAGTACATACATAACTTATCCTGTAACTGTTGTTCAGCAAAAATGCTGATTGCATTATCTAGACAACCCACAGGAATGAACCTGAATTTCTATGTATGTAAGATGCCATCATGAGACCATACTACACCTAGCCAGTATAAATATGAGTCACATCAAAAGTTACCCCAGGTTCAACACCTTTTCCATCTTGATTGGCCAGCCCAGGGTGATGTAACTTCCATTCATTTGCATGAGAGCTGACTTTATCCTGTCACCAAGGCATGGCAAGATTGTACACTATGTTGTATGCTTGGCGTAAATTCAGAAGAACATTGCTGGCATGCAGAAGAGGAGTTTTTATTATAAAAATGCTATTCAGAGTCTCATTTGCAATAAAAGCCTACCTGTCAACAATGTTTCACTTTAACTGCTACAGTTTCACTTCATATGGAATAGTTGCTTCCACTACCTATCTATAACACTGAAACCTGCATCTGAAGGGGATTGAGTGTCCATAAAAATATGGAAGGAATACTCTACTAAAAATGTGTTAACAATTTCATGGTAAATAATGGAAACCTCCTTTAGGGTTAATTCACACCAGGTGTAAAGTGTGGTCTGGCGGAATCTCTGCAGTGCTGCTGTGCTAATCTCGGAGCACTTGGGGCACACCCCTTCTGAAGATGTACTAGTGTACGAAACGCGTCTTGGAGGAGCCTGCAAGCTTTGACGTCACGCCACTGGGTCACGGAGATCCGGCGGCCTCATTTGATCACCAGCTGGTTAGTGCTCATAACAACGTTTTGTTGCAATATTCATGCCTACTGCTTTGAAACAGCCTTTGGCACATGTTCAGCATTTACATGTATGAGGAGATATATATATATGTTTGCTGCTGCATAACATTCTTCATTAAATTTTTCTGACATTACTACACTATGGGTATTTCCATCTGTTGCTCTGCATTGAGCATTTAATGCCCCAGAGCTCCCCCTGGTGACTATTCCACTGTACTGAAGAGGCTGCACCCGTGTCCTTAACTAGTTGCCGACCGCAGATAGCCGAATGACGGCTGCACTGCAGCCGGCCAGTTCTGGGTGGACGTCATATGACGTCCCCCCAGAACGCGCTCTCCTGCGCGCCGGCGATCTCCGTGATCGCTGTGTCCTACGGACACAGCTGATCACGAGATGTGGTAAAAGGCCAATCATACCGGCCTTTTACCACGTGATCAGCGGTGTCCAATGACACGCTGATCACAGGGAAATGCAAGTGCCAGTTCTCGGCTGCACTTTCCTCACGCTGTCAGATCGTGAGGAAAGTACTGCCGAGAACCGGCAGTTGTCAGAGCAAGGATCGGCACCGATCATCAGGGCACTGATGATCAGTGCCCTGATGATCGGTGCCCAGCAGTGCCACCCACAAGTTCCGCCCACCTGTGCCCAGCAGATCACCCACCTGTGCCCACCTGTGCCCAGCAGTGCACCCACCTGTGCCACTCTGCAGTGTCACACACCTGTGCCCAGAAGTGCCACCTACCTGTGCCCAGCAGTGCCACCCACCTGTGCCAACCCACCTGTGCCCACCAGTGCCACCCACCTGTGCAACCAGTGCCACCTACCTGTGCCCACTCACCAGTGCTGCCCACCAGTGCCACCCACCAGTGCAGCCCAGCAGTGCTGCCAGTCAGTGCCACCAGTCAGTGCCCAGCGGTTGTGCCAGTCAGTGCCGCTAGTCACTGCCCAGCAGTGATGCCAGTCAGTGCCGTCTATCAGTACCCATCATCAGTGTCACCTATCAGTGCCGCCTATCAGTGCTGCATATTAGTGCCGCCTATCCGTGACACCTCATTAGTGCTGCCTATCAGTGCCGCCTATCCGTGCCACCTCATTAGTACTGCCTATCAGTGCCCTTTAGTGCTGCCTATCAGTGCCCATCAGTGCCGCCTATCAGTGCCCATCAGTGCTGCCTCATCAACGCACATCAGTGAAGGGAGAAAATTACCTGTTTGAAAAATTTTATAATAGAAACAAAGAAACTTTTTTTTTTTTTTCAAATTTTTTGCAATTTTTTAATTTATAGCGCAAAAAGTAAAGCGCCCAGTGGCGATTAAATACCACCAAAAGAAAGCTCTATTTGTGAGAAAAAAATTATCAAAATTTTGTATGGGTACAATGTTGCATGACCGCGCAATTGTCAATCAAAGTGTGGCAGCGCTGAAAGCTGAAAATTGGCCTGGTAAATAAGGGGGTATAAGTGCCCCCTGGTAGGCAAGTGGTTAAAGTGGACCTCCGGTTTTGAGAACATCTACCTAGATGATGTCATCCATCCTGGGCTGGCTCCATTCGTATCCTGAAAGGGACCCCCTGGCAGACCTCCATTTTGCTGATACATTGCGCATTTTCTTTGCGCTTACGGTGAGTGCGCATTTTATACATATCCTGCCTCTCACCGAGTCTTATTCTAACTACGATCGTGGGAATAATATATCACCTTTGAGCTCTTATATTGTGGACTAACTACCCATTTATGAACATTGCTACCATAAATCAGTCCGGATTATTTTTAGCGCTGCACTTATTCTATATACTAATTTCGGAGCACTGTTCACTTTCTTTTTTTCTCGCACTGTTCATTTTATCTAAACAAACTTTATTGAAATGCCACACAGATATTTCAAAAAGTTCAGTTGGCCACCATGTGGTGTGAGATGGTGAATTGCCTTGCACTGCACTGAAAAAAGTATTGCATGCAGTACTTTTTTTCAGCTCACACTGCCTGCAAACCACCACAGTGCAGTGGTGTGAATCAAGCACACAGCAGACAAGGCATTTAGCATTGTCATGTGGTGGGGGGACTTTGCTGGAATCGCCACTCAATGCAGTCCCACAGCATCTAGTATAAAGGACCCTTGTTCTAGTAATCATGCACATTGGTGCTCTCGACCATCTCCAGAACCCTAGTCATTCTAAGAATTGCAACTCAGTCTTGTGCCCTAAATTTTCTTTCTTTTTTTCATCAGAAGCATCGCATACATCATAATAGAGAGACAAGCAGCGCCATGTAAGTGCAGCAATATAAGAAAATAATTTATTCCCCAAAATTGGCAACTCCCAATAGTAGTAATCAAATGAGCACTTGTCAAACTGCTGTGCAACTCCTGGCAGATCCCGCTGCAGGCAGGTCTACAAAGAACTGTCCTTGGCTGTACTGGTGGTTCCCAGTACTTCTTGGTTGGTGTGGATCCTGAGTTCAGACGGGAGTGCTGTCAGCTCAGGTACAGCATCAGTAGGCGTGACACGCATTTGTAACATGCATGCTTCTTCATCAGGCCTGTACCTGGAGCTGACATCACTCCCGCTTGCCCCGAGGATCCACACCAACCAGGAAGTAATGGGAACCACCAGCACAGCCAAGAACAGTTGTTTGGAGACCTGCCTGCAGTGCGACCAGCCAGGAGAGGCAGAGCGGTTGACACCAGTTTTGACAAGTGCTCATTTGACTACTGCTATTGGGGAGTTGACAATTTTGTGGAATAAATTATTTGCTTATATTGCTGAGTTGCACTTAGCTGGCGCTGCTTCTCTCTCTTATGGTTCACACAAAGTCTCTTCTAGCTCTTTTGTATCAGCTACCACTGAGTCAAGCATTGTTGGAATATCCCTTAACCACCTTTGGACTTTACTTGTGTGGTTAATATACTAGCCATCACAGTATACATCTGATTTTTTTCGCATTGGTTATTATTTTGAATAATACAGATAGGAGTGTATTTATAACACAAATTTGCATTGCACTTTGTCCATTGAAAGCGCAAGTACATTCGTCTGTGTGAATGGGGCCAAAAAAACAAAAAGTTATTAGACTATATCCTGTGCTGGTCGAATGTTTTTCATTTATTTAAAAGGTTAGTTCACCTTGATGAAAAAAACGCCTAGGCAGGTCAGAGGCACCTGACAGATAAAAACAAACTGTGCAGCTGTAACCAAAGTTGGATAATGCCCTTGCTATAGGTGGAGGCCATTTATGTACTTCACGAAGCCTGGAAAAAAAAAACTCCCAGAAATGGCATCATCTTGTCCTGCCTTGTTGCTAGGAGGTTGCTAAGACATTCCTAGTCATTACTGCTCATCCCAACCACAGGAGCAAGCTCTCAAATCCCTGCACATGTGTGGTCCACTATCTCCTCTACCAGCATCTCTGAACTCAGAGGGAAGAGAAAGTGCATGCAAGGGGGGTTTGAATTGACAGGGGTGGGTTGATGCCATCTCTGGGAGTTTTTACCAGGAGCCTTTGGGAATAAATTGCTTGCACCTATAGCAAGGGCATTATCCAACTGTAGTCAAAGCTACACAGTTTATATTTGTCTACAGGTGCACGGTACCTTCATTAGCAATTTTTTTTAGTAAAGGTGAACTGACCCTTTAAAATGGAAAATACATTTGGCCACTAGATGGCACTAAATATCATAAAACAAACTCTGATATTTAGTACCATCTAGTGGCCAAATGCTGTATTTTCCATTTTAATTCAATGAATAGCATTCAAGCAGCTCAGGAAATAGCCTAATAGCATTTTTTTTGTGCACCAATTGTACTTTAGTCTTTAGTGTAAATTTTTCCTATCCTGGAGATATCTTTTGTGGACATTTGTAACCCTACTGTACTGTCTGGTGTTTTGAAGTTACTGGATACTGAATTATCCTGAGGCATTTTTCCAAAATGGGTACCTTTTAGGCAAGTTATGCTTTTACAATATATCCTTAGCCACAATCATTATAAAATTCCATTCTTACTTTTGTTGAAACAAACCATGTAATTTCTAAATGCACTCATGTTGCAAATTCTTTACAATTATGTACATTTAGGGTTTATAATCTTAAAATTGTTTTTTCTTCACTTCTATTTCACATCATGTGCCCCGAAAGCTGCTTTGTTATTTGACATAAGAGAAAGCTAGTAGTTAAAATTGTTCTGGTGGGTGTGGTGCAGCTGAGGATAAGGTCCTCTCTTCTTATGAGGAACATTCCCAACATATGTTTTACTATAACAGCCCTTTTGCAGCTTGGTATACAAATATATCCTTAGGGAAAGAGAGCAAAAGAGACGTTTATAAGAAAAAAGAAAATAAACTTAAACACAAGGCTGTGGTAACTTTGTCTCTGCAGACTTTTGATCTCCTAGAACCAGAGCTTCCTGTGAACGTTTAGATATGATCAACTGAATACATCTGTCAAAATCATTATAAAAAACTAACTTAGCCCAAAAAAATGACTGGCACCAATAGATACTACATTACACGTGCAGAACAGTCCAGATCAAATGGAATAATGTGTTTAGGATTCTATAGCATAAACGTGGTCTTTGAGCAGAAGGAGAAAAGCCAAGCCATAACCATATTCATTTCAATAGATCAGTTTAACCTGTTACCAAGATCTTGGTGCTGCATGCTATAGGCACAGATGCTTCTGGTGGAGCATGCGGCAGAAGAGAGGTTACTTATGGGTGTATTTATTTAAAAAAATTGCAGAGCTATGTGTTCTGTGAAACTACATATATATTATTACTGAGTGAATTGAGCAAAATCAAATGTTATTAGATTATATTCTCTGCAAGACAAATGTAATTCATTCATACAGAAGAGTGAATAAAGTGGTTGTAAACTCATACATATACCAGTAAAATGACTGGCCTCAGGTGATACACAGGGATTAAACAAATCCTCCTACATAAGTTGTACTTGTTTGTCTGGAGCCATCTCTTCTCTATATCTGTGTAAAGTCTACAATTTCCACAGCTGTTTAATCTTCTAGAGGCAGGGGCCAGGGATGTAATTTCACACTTTGCACAGCTCAGAGAGGAGAGCTGAATATAATCTGTGACCCGAGTGGAGGGAACAGAAACACTCTTCTCTATACAATCTCATAGGGAAACATGCTCAGCTGAGGCTGCCAATCACAGGCTCTGTTCTGGAGACCTCCTCCCCTGTCCATCTACATGTAGTTTATCAGTATGATTATCTCTGCAATTGTTTTATATAAATATGCCCCATTTGAGTAAGGGCTTAGTTTAGGGGTTAAGGTAGTTTACTGTTAGGCCTAGGTTTTTATAGTTTTTTAGGGAGTGAGTGTGAGGTGGAAAGTTAAAGAAACCTTGTCACCAAATTGCCAGTAAGCACAGAAAAAATATTTTAAATGGTTGCATGTAGTGTTTTGTTTCCTTTCGAGAAATAGTTTTTTCCCCCTGCAATTGGTCTTTGACCTTGCTTGAAAATTTGAGAACTTCTGAAGCAGAGTCAGGCTGAGAAAGGGGCAGAACAGACATCCACATCAATGCCATCCTGCAGGGGACGCAGCTGGGGTGGGAGCCTCTCCTGCCTCTGCGTTGCCCTGCCATCCACTGCACAGTGCAAGATTGGCCTGTCAAACTGATAGCTCAGCCCTGCAGATTGTATAGCTGTATAACCTCAGTTCTAATCTCAACCAGGACACTACCTCCATGGAGTTACACTCTCTATGCTTGCTTGGGTTTGCTCCAACACTCCAAAGACATACTTGTAGGTCTATTGGCTCCTGTATAATTGGCCCTAGTATGTATATGTATGCATGTGAGGTAGGGTCCTTAGGTTGTAAGATCCTTGAGGGCAGGGACTAAGGTCAATGTTCTATATGTAAAGCACATGAAAATTGTCATAAATACC